CTCTTCCCTCCCTTTGTTTTTTCTTTTCCTTTCTGTGTATCTATCTTTTTTTTTTCTCCCCCCCTCACTCTGTCCTTCCGATCCTCTTCCTTGCTTGCTCCTGAACAGAATGAACCTCCACTGCACTCAGGAGCCCGGTTTCTATGGCAGTGTGAGCAAGCAAAGCAAGTCAGCAGGATGCTGTAGTGCAAATGTCTAGGGGCAGATCCCTCACCCAGCCCAGCGGACAGCCAAACAAGCCCAATGGATTCTCACTTCAATCCTGTTGGTGCTGAAAACAATTGCCAGGCACTTTAACTTCTGTTGCAGAAGACATGTAGTGAAAGGGTGAAAAAAACTGCAAAGAAATGTTCATTTTGCTCTCTAAAAAACAGGCGGACAATGCAGCAAAAGAAAGGAAACGCAAAGTTTTAGGAGCATGAATATAGATGAGGGCGTCCTCATGAATATCAAAGCTTTTTGGATTGAATAGATGTCCAGATAAAACATGCAAAGAGTGTGTTTTAATTCCTACATAGAATGGCATTAGGCAAATGCACCGCGAGGCATCAAAGGGGGGGGGTTGTCCTTTCCTCATGAGCAACACACGCAAGCCTTTGCTTTGTTCCGCGTCGAGAGCGCGCTGCCGCGAGGAAAACGCGCGTACGCATCCGCGCATCCCGCTGATTGAATAAGCACGGGGCGACACGGCGCCTCCGCCCGCAGCTGCTGACCGCGGCCATGCGACATATTGCAGCACCATCAGTATAGGATCTTCAACAGAGAGGGAGGGAGAGCACGAAGGAGGTGCAACCCCCCCACCGGCAAATCGTGCCTCGGTCGAGATCTTAGCGTCAGTTCCTCAACAGGCGGCGGTCCGCAGAGGACGCGCCTCCGACCACCGGCTCCGGCCGCGGGAATCGATTGGACGCGCGACACCGGCGAGATGCGGGAGAAATTAATTGCATTCGGCGCAGTTGGCAAGCGTTCCAAATGAAGATCTTAGAACGCGTGCTGTGGATAACACGAACAGCCTCGTTCTGCCGGCTGAGCGGGTTTGTTTGCGGTTGCAGCGGCTCTATGACGCGTTATGTGTTACTCAGAAACGCTCCTGCTGGAACCAGTGCAACATCTGGTATTTTAGGT